CCACAATGAGTCTAAGCTAGTTGATGTTTTATTATATTTCCAAAAGCATACATATCATTTACCAGTTTATGCATAAAGATACAAATGTTTGCCACACGTAATTAATTAGTCATCTGTGCTGCTCGAGCCATTCCCTCCTTTCTGGGACTATGCATGTTGCTGAGCTGCCTGCACACTGTGCAACTCTGTCCTTGTGGAGGGACTGGTGACCCCAGCTGTGCAGTGTGGTAGCCTGTTCATTTCCTTCTGTTGCTCAGGACAGAGAAAACCTAATCCATAAGATTTCCATTCTGTTACAGGCAGAGATTTAGAGATCAGCATTTTTTTTGAAAGATTACAAAGATAGACCATTCTGCTTAGGATAGAAAAGAATAAAGACATCTAATTTTTAGTTTACTTCTCCAGTTTATTCAGAACTGAGACCAAACTCCTTTGACAGGGTTATATTGCTTGTGCTCAGACATATTTTTCACTGAATCAAAATTTTGAAATATTTACTTATAAGGTAATAACTGTCTTTGAAATTAAGCAGTTCACAAAGCGATTAGTTTTTTCCATATGCATTCACATTTAATTATTATTATAAATAAGATATTCATAATTTCTCCAGCTTTTAATCTGAACATATAATTTGCAGTAACAAGATGTGGGTTCCAGTACAGATTTTTTAATTCACTTTTTGGCCCCAGATGAGCCATTCTGGGTCTCTGCCTTCACCCACATCTAACAGGAATAATCATAACTTTCTTAACCTACTTTATAGGCAAGTAGGCTTAAGATTTATGTGAAAACATTTTGCTCAAATTGCTAAGCAAGGTAAAATATGTATTTTATCATATTACCTATTTTCTAATATTTGATTTGCTTTTCATAATTTAACCAAAATAAAGATTGCATACTTTGAGACCTACAAAATTCAGTAGTTATGCAAGGTGAATTAAAGTAGTAAAGCTAGTCATAATAGTAAACCCATTCATCCATGTTCTCAATTACATTAAGAATAGTAATTATAAAAATAGGTAAATTTTTGTGAAAATATTCCTATTTATTCTGGTTTAGGAGTTCTTGCCCATATCAATGGATTGTCTGGCATCAGCCATGGCATCAGGTACTTGAACAGTCATATTGTCCATAGACTTTGTCAAGCAGATTTGGCAGCCCAACCGGGATCTGTATAAAAAAAAGTGGGGGAGGAGTTCAGTATTAAGTATATATTATTAATACTAAATAATTATAGGAGGAGTTTAGTATTAAGTATATATTATTCACAAAATAATGCAGTTGTTTAAGACATTTTCTTACCCAGAGCAGTTAGGAATTTATTACCTTTAAATTTCCATTAAATTGAAAAAGATACATTCAACTCTCAACTAGAGGGTAACAAAATGTAAATATGAAGAACAAAAAGCCTAGTGGCCAACGCTTCATTTTAGTCCTTAATTTCTATCAATTAATTGTTTCACCAGAACTACTGCTTTTTGGTGAAAAAGCTAACAAGTGATGAAATAATCAGTAGGCACAACAGTAGAGAAGAGTACAGAGGTTTTAGCAATGCCAAGAAAATAATTAATCAATTCCCACATAATTAAAACCATACAGACTATTAAAAAGCCCCAATTTTAAAACTCTTTAAATAAAAAAAATTTGAAATAAACACAGCTATAAGTCATCAATTATCAGATGCATATTTCCCCCCACATTTTTAACATCTCTGAAATCAAGATACATCTTAAAATCAGTGGCATCTTACAATCACTGCTACACTGTGAAGTGGCAGTCACATCAGAGCTGCAAGCTTGATTACAATATTCATATAGGTGTCTCTTCAAGTGAGTTATGAGAAGTAAGTTAATATTAAATGTGCTNATAACAAGGGTACCAGGAGAAGAGAGAAAGCAAGGAATTGAAAACTTATTTGAAGAAATAATGACAGAAACTTTCCTAACCGGGCGAAGGAAATAGACATACATACAAGCCCAGGAAACGCAGAGTCCCCAAAAAGATGAACACAAACAGGCCCACACCAAGACATATTACATTTAAAATGGCAAAGGTTAAATACAGAGAGAATCCTAAAAGCAAGAGAAAGGCAACTAGTAACTTATAAGGGAGCCCTCATATTGTCAGCTCATGTCTCAACAGAAATCTTGCAGGCCAGAAGGGGTTGGCACAAAATATTCAATGTGATAAAAATCAAGGACCTACAACCAAGATTACTCTACTCAGCAAAGCTATCATTTAGAATCAAAAAGACAGATAAAGAATTTCCCAGGCAAGAAAAAGCTAGAGTTCATCATCACCAAACCAGTATTACAAGAAATGTTAGAGGGACTCCTTTAAGGTAAAAAAATCAAAATTATGAATAATAAAATGGCAATAGCTACATATCTATTAACAATTACTTTCAATGTAAACGAATTAAATGCTCCACTCAAGACATAGGAGGGCTGAATAGATTTTAAAAAGACTCTTACATATGCTGCCTTCAAGATACTCACTTCAAATCAAAAGACACACACAGACTGAAAGGAGATAGAAAGACATTTAGTGAAAATGTAAATGAAATAAACAAAGAAACAAAAAAAGCTGGGGTTGCAATACTTATACCAGACAAATTAAACTTTAAAACAAAGGCTATGAGACAATGAAGGACCCATTAATCCCACTTCAGGATATCTATCCAAAAAACCCAAACACTACTTCGAGGGCACATGTGTATCCATATGTTTATTGCAGCGCTGTTTACAGTGACCAAGATGTGGAGGCAGCCTTGGTGTCCATCGATGGATGAATTAAGAGGAGGTGGTACATATATACAATGGAATATTGCTCAGCCATGGAAGGGAATGGGTTCTTGTCATCTGTATGGACCTGGAGGGTATTGTGCCAAGTAGAGTGTCAAAGACAGATGCAATGAGATTTCACGTATACATGGAATCTAAAGAACAAAATAAACAACTCATAGATACAGAGAACATTTTGATGGTTGCCAGATGGGAGGGGGGTTGTGAATGAGTAAAAAAGCGGAAGGGATTAAGTACAAATTGGTTTTCACAAAGTCATCATGGGTATGTAGGGTATAGCATAAGGAATATAGTCAATAATATTGTAATAACTATGTATGGTGTCAGATGGTACTAGATTTATTGGGGTGATAGATGGGTGGGTGTGGGGGCTAGGTGAAAAATTTGAAAGGATTAAGTGAAAACTGGTAGGTTACAAAATAATCATGGGGATGTAAAGCATAGGGAATATAGTCAGTAATATGGTAATATAATAATAACTATATATAGTGCCAGATGGGTACCAGTCAGGATCATTTCTCAAATTATACAAATGTCTAACCACTATGCTCTACATGTGAAATTAATATAAAATAATATTGAACATCAACTGTAATTGAAAAATTCTAAAAGGGGGGAATGGTGAAGGGGAATAAGAGGTTCAAATTTCCAGGTATAAAACAAATAACTCATGAGGATGTAATGCACAACATAGGGAATATAGTCAATAACATTGTGATAGTGTGATATGGTATCAGATGATTGTTGGACTTATGGTAACCACTTCCTTAGGTATATAAATGTTGATTAACTACGGTGTACACCTGAAACTAATATAATACTGTATGTTCACTATATTTTAATAAAAATCTTTAAAAAATAAAATAAATTGAAAAAAATACATCAGCAAATTCTTTGACACCCCTCGCTTCCTATGATGGATTAGGCTTAGTGCCTCACTTCTAAATGAAAAAAACAGAAGTGATACTGAGTGCCTTCCACGCCTAGCTCATTAAAAGGATACAGGATTCTGCCAGGCATAGACGCTTTCTCAGAAGCTCCTTTCTCTTAGAACCCAGCCACTATACTGTGAGGAAGCCCAAGCCACATGGAGAGGCCACGTGTGGGTGTACAGTCAATAGCCTTTGCTAGCCCCCCAGCTGACACCAGCAACGTGCCAGTCATGTGAGGGTATCATCAGTCTTCAGATGATTCCAGCACCTGGCCTTTAAGTCTTCTAGCTGAGGCTCCAGACATTGTGGAGCAGTACGAGCCATCCCTTTCTGCACTCTGTGAATTCCTGACACACAGAAACTGTCTGAGACAAGAAGAGATTACTATTGTTTCAAGCCATGAAATTTTGTGGTAATTTGTTTTGCAGCAACAGATTAACTAATAGTCACTCAGAATGCACACACCATTAAATATGGAAGGTTTTTGGGGTTTTTTTTCAAAACAAAAAAATACTCTTTGTACAAACCAATTATAGTATATATGGCTCCATTTAATAAGTTTAGTAGGTTTTATTTAAGTAGTACAATTACACTTAAATCAATATGAATTTTTCTAATTTGAAATGAGACAATTAGACTCCAAATTTTAATTTATAGGCTGAATGTCCTCATTAAAGTTCTGAAAAGGAGAGGTTAGATAATCCATGGAAAAATACAAGAATATTAAAGCTAATTAAGAGAAAAAATTATTTTAAAGTATAGTCCTCTCCACACAGAAGTCATTTGATAGTTCCTAAATGTGAAATGAACATTAGAAACCCTAAGTTCTTCCTAATCACTTTTCACATATTAGTTTAAAAGTATTCTATTTGGCAAATTGGTCAGTTTAGTTCAAGCAAATT